CTGAGAGAATGCTTCGACGAAGAAGATCCGAGGACATGGAAGACTATATGTCTGAAGTGTAACACTAGTCGTTACTTACGTTCTGAACTAACTTGTTGTTTTTAGTCTCCTGTCCATGTACTGTATGTTATATATTCTGTACTTATGTGTATTTTTGTATAGGGCCCACAGTAATTGGTTTACACTGTTGTGGTGTCCCTGCCATTTTTGTCCATGTTTATTGTCTAGATGTCTATTTGCTGTTCTGTTAAGTGTCTTTGGCAAAGTTTAATAAATAAAAATAAATAAATTTTTGAAGAGGATTCTGGCACAATGGTTAGTGCACTTACCATCACCTTTTGATTGTTGCAATATACAATTGTCTGATCATCATTACACCACAGTTGCACGTGCATAAATAGATATATGTTTACTTACCAAAGATCTTTTTTGTATCTGCTATGGCTTCATTAACTTTCGTTTCAGTTTTCTCAGAATTAACATCCGTGTGTGCGTCATTATCATCCAAAAACTTCGTATCCACAACATGACTACGGGAATTATCCAAGCTTTTATCCTTATTGTCACTCTTTATCTGTTCCAATGGACCAGAATCAAAGATAATTGATAATTCAGCCGTATTCCCTAATGTTTGTGGTACTCTATCTGAAACTTCTGTGGCCTTGTCCATGATTTCGTTTGCCCCATTTTTTATTGTAGCCTCTCTATCAAAACCGTGAAAATGTGTTATGTCAGCATACTACAAATATATGTCATGTGTCGACAAAATTGAATGAACTACTGTATGTGCATGCAAGAGATATACATGCAAGTATTTTTTCAGAAATGCATATAATGATGCAATTTGACGTCCTATAGTAGGATAATTTGCGTATAAAATACTGTAAAATATCTCAAGAAATAAACATTCAGGCTAAAATATTTTGGCAAATTATCTAATGATTAGTCATTTTGGATTTTCTTTACAATGCAATCATAAAAAATGGTTTGAAATTTCTTTGCATAAGCACTTTAATCACCGCTCTACCTTAGATCGGCGGTTTTATCCTTTATCTTGACGAGTTTTTATCCTTTGAAAGCACAACAAAAACGTATACAATATAGATTCAGTTTCTTACCTTGTACAAGCCGATGAAGATCTTCTGGGATCGTAAGTTTGGCTGGGTGGCATATCTGCGCCACTTAATGTGGAATATCTGTTCCCCTCAGGTTGATCTTGTTTTTGTGAAGAATTATTCAATCCAGCTGAAATACTGTGACCCCATTGTCCAAAACTGGGAGCCAAAGAGATTCTCTCAGTATTCGATCGCTACAGTGTAAACATGAACTCATTTAAGTTAGTGGAAGATATGACCAGTGGTACTTGATTGGCAGGTTAAATCAGTAAGTCGTATTGGCGAACAAATGGTAGACATAAAATACAAGACCGAAGACATGCGCAATTTCGCTGTTAAAACTATTAAATATTGGAATGCCTGCATGCCCTTGGTGTTTCATTACACAATCAAGAATCTTAGGATCTACAGTATACCTTTGTTTAAACGTAGTATTTATAAAAGGCCGCCGGTTGGAAATTGCTTAGAAATATTTGTTTTTAACTGCACAGCATCCCATATATATATTATTCTGAAATCTACACAATTAATAGCATTTTACTATTTACAATTATTATAAACGCCCACCCTGTTAGCTCTATCATAAACCTGGATCAAGGCTGTGGCGAGTCTATCTGGTTCTCCTCGTAAAGTGATTACTTCCGTGTCCGAGTCCAAAGGTGGCATTTCAACAGATACTCCTGAAAACAAACAGTTGAATCTGCTTAACTTGGACTATATTTATCGCACACCAAAAAGAAACTAACTACATGTATTAGACTTGCTTCAAGTGTTCTTCATTTACTATACCCACCTGTGGATGCAAAAATCTCTTGTAATGCATGTCCTTTGGGTCCAGTAACATATTTGTGTTCGGATTTCTTTACCTCAATGGATACAGCGGTCACACGTCGCTCCTGAAAAACACAGGTCATCATGGAGTCTATATACAACAGTAACGTTTAACCCATTGAGCGACAGCGCTCTCCCCTTGACTTGCGCGTCATGGTGCAATGCAGCTTATTGGATTAAAAGCACTTCAAACTTTTGAGTAAAGCATTAAATGTTCGGAGGTTCCTAGGGCATTACTTCTGACAAGTGGCTACCACCCAAGTGCCCCAAGCTATATACTATTAACTTCACATGTGCTGGCCTTTGCTCAAAACAAAAACGTCTTTAATCTTTTTACCTTTGAAAACAAACC